AAGAGAGAAAAGTCAAAATAATTTTAAATAGTGAAAAAATCAAAATACCTTTCAATAAAATATTCTTCACTTGTTATATAAAATTATTAGTTGTGATATTTTATTAATATCACTTATAAATTACATTTATTTGTCAGAATTAGTAATATTAGTTGTTAATTTACTAATTTTATTTGTTAATTTATTACATAAGTTGTAAATTATTGATATATTTTGTAATTTATGAACAACTATAAATTATTAATAGGTCTTCTAATTTGTAAGTGATGTTACTAAATTAACAAGTGAAGTAAGAAAATTTACCAACATCAATTATAAATTAAATTAAAGTTTTTAAATTTTTTGATATCCATAAATAATTAAGTCTCTTTCTTGATGCTGAACTAAAATTCTCCCAAATAATTAATTATATATATTAATCTATAATGTTGTGTTGGGATTGGCAACGACGATTATGCTTGTGCATTTTTTCCTATATAATCAAATGGAATTCCCGTTTATAGCTTGATCTAGCCCTCATTTTGCTTCGCTGATATCAAAGTAAATTTGGATAATTAATTTATAAAAATTATAAAAATATTTAATATTAAATTTATCATCCAGATTAAATCTATATTGTCCAAATTGATGATAAAATAAATTTATTAAAATTTATAATTTTTATTTTATTAAATATAAAATAAAATATATAAATATGGACTATTTATTAAAAATCTGAACGATCCAGATTACTCAACTTAAACTGGTCTCCCGAGGGACGAATTCAGAGTTTTATGGTTGGGGTGGGGGTTTGGGGCTACCATGAAAATAAAATAAAAATGGGAAGCCAAAATCTATTTTAATCTATTTTACAAAAAAAAAAACTAAAAAATAAATATCCCTTAGACACATGTCTAGATAGGACATAGGACAAAATTGTTTCTTTTTTGGGACGAGACATGGTATGGATCTATTTCAATCTTCACTCGTCTTATAAATATTCCTTATTTTATTATTCTTTAATTTAAATGGGATCGTCATTAGTGTTGATGTCATTACTGCAGTGTCATGATATTTTTTTTCTTGTTCCTCTTTGTTTTTATAATTATTCCAACTATTTTTAAATAGATTTATTTATTTTCTATAATAACAAATATTTTGATTACAATTTTTTCATTAACTTCACCTATTTAACCGCACGCTCATTTTTTTGCTTGAGTCTATTATTGACTAGTGGTAGATTCACTTTCCTCTTTTTCTTTCTTCTTTCTTTCTTTCTTTTTTTTTTTTAATGAGAGAACTAGTTAAAAATGTTTCGTGGTTAGATATCCTTCCCTACATGTGGAGAGTATTGTAAACAAGTTGTTGGCGTGGTGAGATCCTGTAATGCCTTAACTTCTATGATAATGTTGAAGTCAATGTGTTATGCAACAATGGCTGTGATCATATCCAAAGTTTGATTTTATTTGATTTGTTGTTTCATTTAAGAATTTGAATGGTATGAATTGTGCAAAGTTCAATAACATTTTTGTTATTGTGGAAACATTTGTGCGAGATTAGGTTTGTCAGGTTAAGTGGCACTGATTGACTTAGCTTGTTACGACTTGGATTTTGATCGTGACAGTGTAACTTGTAAATTTTTAAAAAAAAAAAAATTGCATAAAATTTCATCTCTTTAGGCCCATAAAGTCATTCCAAAAAAAAAAAAAAGCACTGACGATAATGGTGGCATCGACACCGGAAAAGTCACCTGTGGTGGCGGTGGAACTATTTTCGGCGACAAAAACAAGGAGAAGGAAGGAGATGGAGCACAGCTTGTTTTTAAAATAATTGAGGGGCATTTTAACTCAAACTTTTTTTCCCTGTGAAAAGGACTGAGATCTTTTAAAATAATTTCATAAATTCAAGATCTATCTGAATAATTAAATTTTATAATTGGTCCTTAAGCATAAATTCTAGAGAAAATGACAAGAAAATCACATCAAAATATATAAATGACAATCAAATCTCTCAAAATATCATAATTTCCCTGAAATTCTCGAGTACCATTGTTAATGATTTTAAATTAAATTATTAAATTGTTCTTTATTTAAAATAAAAATAATGGGCTTAATTTTTTTTTCAATCATATTTTTTGCTCTGTAAATCACAAAAATTAAATAAAAAATCACTTCCGATGTAAAATTTTTTTATGATTAATAAACAAGTTTTGAAGATAATTACTAGTCTCAATCATAATTTTTATTTGAACAGTTACAACTTTAATTTTATGAATTATAAAAATTAAATAGAAAATCATAACTTATCGCATGAAATTTATTTTATTGTTAAAATTAAAATTTGAAAAATAATCAATTACAGTTTTTGTTTAAATAATAATAAATTTTATTATGTAAATTATAAGAATTAAATAAAAAATTATAAATTTTCACATGAATTCATTATTTTTTTATTTAAACAATGGAAAATTTAATTATTTAACTTAAAATTATTAATGTCAGAAAAGAACTTAAGGATTTTAAAGAAATTATGATATTTAAAAAAATTAAATTGTCATTTATATATTTTGGTGAGACTTTATTGTTTTTCTGCAAATTAATTAATTTCTAGTCACAACAAAAATTCCAACAATTTAAATCATGAATTTTAATATTAAATGTGGTCATCAATTTAAATTTGCCAACATATAAATTTTTAGGGGCTCACAGGGTCATGCATGCAATCATTAACTTGTATCTTTCCACAATAAAACATAATTTTTAATGATAAAGTATCGACCGCAATACATGCTAAATATGTAATACTCCCTTCGTCTTAAATTATAGAGAATTTTTTTTAAAAAAATTCATCCTTAATATAAGACACTTTAAGTAGATTAAAGTTTTATTAAATGCGCTAATTTTAATATTACCCTTTCTCTTTCTATAATTAATTTACATCCCTTCTCTTTTCAATATATTAAATGATGGGTATTTTTGAAAGTTTATATTTTTTTTGAAAAGATAAGATTGTTTAGTGTATTTAATAAGGTTCATTGATATGTGAGATTTTATCTAAAAATATTTTATAATTTGAGACGAAGGGAATACTTAGCAAATAATTGATGACGCTATTTATATAGGTTTCTTGTACAAGTGAAGAATGAAAAGTTTATACATATATACGCTAACTTCTTATGAAAATATGCTAACTTCCGGACAAAAAAAATGAAATAAGTGTAATTTTTAAATTCCTAGATATTTAAAAGCAAACAATATTTTTTAAGACTTGAAAACTTTGACAAAATTAAAGATAAAAAAATAGTTGTTTAAACAAAAGCGAGTGATTTTTTGTTATAAAAAAAAGATAAAAGAGTGAATTGACTCCTATAATATATGCCAAGGAATATCTGTAATCTTAAATTTATTTTTGTGCAATGTTAAATTTCTAATATAAACGTTTCCATCTCCATGCATGTAAAAAGTATAGATTCGTGAAGTACATAAAAGTTGAAGGGAGAAAGATGCCAAGAAAAAAGGGGTGGAGGAGAAAAGTTATTTTTTTCAGTAGACAAAAACTTAAAAGTTATTAATATTGTTAGAAGTTACTTAATTTAACATTTGCATTTGTTCATCACAAAACAATAAATATCACACATGTTAGAAACGCTGCATCTTATGGATAATAATAAAGTTTTTGAGTTCTTTATCACAGTTCATTCAAATATGAAGATATAAAGAAAATTAGAATAGAAGTTGTTTTTGATTAATTGAAATATAAAGCACGAAGCTGTGTATATTATAACTGGAAATAAATTAATCTATCTCATTTTAATGCACAACTTCAATTTTTTTCAAAAATTGTGGACGAGTCAAATATGATTTGAATTTCTTAAAGTATACTTTACCCCAAGTGCACAAAAGTCAAAAAGATAATTAAGTGATGAGCTTCGTTTATATGAGGCGTACATAATGAAAAGTGATGCCCACCAATCCCTCTCCCTCTCCCTCTCCCTCTCCCTACACACACACACACACACACACACACACACAGTTTAAGTATTTTATCTGTTTCAAAATAACAGTTTTTATGAAGTTTTTGTTTTAGTTTAAAAATAATTGTTGCTTTATAATTTCAACAATATACTCCATCCGTTTTAAATTATAAGATATTTTTAAACAAAATCTCACATATCAATAAAACTCATTAAATACACTTTACAACCTTATTTTTTAAAAATATATAAATTTTTAAAAATACCTTTCATTTAATAATCCATCAATGAAAGAATATTGAAGAGAAAATAAATAGAAAGAGTAATATTCAAAAAGTATTATTAATGAAATATTATTTTTATTAAAGTGTCTTATATTTTGGGACGCTGATTCTTCCGTAAAAGTGTTTTATAATTTGAGACGGAGAGAGTAATATATTAATCATTCTGCACCATTTTCCCTTTTTCGCTAATAAGAATAATGACAGGTGGAGTATAAATACTTGGAAAATATTTGTAGTTAACTATTAATAAATTTTTTTGAAATAAATAAATTTTATTTTAATCTAGTATATTCAATAAGTTTTTTAAAATTCATATGTGTATAAGCTAAACATATGCATTGAAATGGAAGAAGTATAGTAAATCTTGATATGTTCGAATTTAACCGCACACACACGTGACTTTGGAGTGCTACACTTGCGGACTTGCCCCAATATCCCACCGTTTTCGAGCACCCAATTCTAAAGTTTGGTGCCTTATTTCGGATTAAAAAACGAATTTACCTAAATATTATTTACATGAACAAACAAAAAAAATTTACTTATGAGAGCTCATCAACTGTTAAGAATTCAATAATCTTAAATTTAAATTTTTTCTTGGCCAACAAAGATAGATTAATTTAATTTATATGCATAGAGAAATGCACCGATTTTAAAACAAAAAAACAATAACTTGACTGTGTTTTCCACAGAATTCTCAAACTCAAATCTAACAAGCGGTACAGCGCCGCATTGCCGAGAAAAAAACGGGAGAATGGACAAGCAGGTGAGCACGCGAAGCATTTCCTTTAATTTTCAGATTTCACATGACATTATTATTTCTTATTTACTTTAATTTTCCAAAATGTCCCCAAAAAATAAAAAGAAAGGGAGGAGAGAATTGGAGGGAGAGGAGGGAAACTGTAAGTTCCATATTAACACGTAAGCTAGCTAGCTAGTCCATATTTTATTCTGAGATATTAACCTGATTATTTGCATCTTAATATGGATCAAACCAGCAAGGATTCAGCAAAAGACTCTAGTTCCTCTTGGCTTTCTTGGTTATTCAAGAGCTGGAAGTATTCCTCGTACAGCTTCTCGAGCGTCCCGTGCTGCTCCGCCGACGTTGGAAACTCCGACTGCCCCTCCATGTCAGACCCGTTGACCAGCTCATGCTCTTCCTCGAGCAACCCCACAAACCCCTGATCTTCTTCGTCACCACAATAAGTATAATTATAATTATAATCACTATAGTTATTGTTGTTATTATTCTCTCCCCAGGCGTTCCCTTTCTTCTCTTGGCTGGTAGATCCGCTGGCCGAGTTGGAATCAAACGAGTTCAAGTTCTGGTTACTATCGCTCCGGGGAATCGAAGAAGACAAGCAGGCCGAGATCCTGATGGGCTTGGGCAGATACACTATCGTCTTCTTCTCCAACTCATCTTTCTCTGCCTGCGCTCCATTCTCACGCGCCTTGCCTTTCTTCTTCTTCCTGGGCAGTTTCTTCCTGGAAGCGTGATTACGATCTGGGGAAGCTGGAAGGGACGAGAGCTTCTTGTGAGTGATGGGGTCGGTTCCTTGGTTGCGAAGCCTCTTGCTGAGATGGGTGTTCCAGTGGTTCTTGATTTCGTTATCTGTTCTGCCGGGCAATCTTCCTGCGATGAGAGACCATCGATTTCCGAGAAGCGAGTGCATTCGAATGATGAGATCGTCTTCTTCGGGCGTTATGTTGCCTCTCTTTATGTCTGGTCTGAGATAGTTCATCCATCTCAGCCTGCAACTTTTCCCACACCTCAAAAGCCCTGCATATCGTAATTCACGAGTGACGAAGGAAGAGCAATTCAGAGGAAGAAGAGAGAGCAAAGATGAATCAGGGATTGGTAGGTGGAATAGGAGTGAAGGAGAAGAAGAGAGTGAGGAATACCAGCTCGTTTTGGTAAGGATCTCCATTGGCCTTCGCCATGAGCTTGGATGTACTTGGTAAGCAATGCATCTTCTTTAGGAGTCCATGGCCCTCTGTGCAGCCCCACTTTTGCGCAGCAAGGAGCTCTTCCCATCTCCAATGGGTTTCAGCTCGCACAGAGAGAGAGAGAGAGAGAGAGAGAGCTCTGTGCCAGAAATGGAACAAGAGCACCTAAAGATCCCAACGCCCACGTTGCCCTTTTAAATGACGAAGCAACCATTTTTTTTTTCATTATTTTTTTTTTGATTGACTATTAATGTTTTTTTCAACCCACCTCCCCAAAACTATTGGTTCTGCAGAGCCCACTCTGGCTGCTATTATTTCTTACGTGTGCGCAAATCTTGAGGAATCAATACATATCATGCTAATCACTTTTAAGATTTCATATACTTACATTTCATATGTTTTTTCCCAAAAAATTATATGTTCATTTCTGTTAACATTTTGATGAATATCCATAAACTTGGCTTTTTATTAAATTTTCATAAAAAATATAATCTTCTCCAAAAGTATAATCATAAAATCATTATATTGACAAGACCAAAACAATCACTATATATAATATATATTGAAGTTTAACCGTAAATGATGGCTATTGATAATAACTATACTTAAATTAACATTAATTGCTAACGTAAAATCATTGATTTTAGTAAATATCATTAAGTTATTTTAGTTTTTTAAAAATCATATAATTGTGTAAAATAATAATTTTAGTAATAAACATAAATAAAAAATAAAAATATTAAAGTCAATATCAATACAAATTATAAAATCTATACTAAAAAAACTGTAAATTATAAAAATTTTAGTATTTATAAGTTGAAATAATAGATAGTCTTGTAACATCTAAAATCTGCAAAAATAACCATATATCATTACAACTTGGAAATAATATATTCTTACACAAAATTCTTTTTTTCAGCATCATGCCCTTGTTATTTTATATTTTAATGAATTTTTTAAATTATAAAACAGTATTCAAATATTAAAAAATAGGTGAAATTTTAAAAAATATATTTTAATTTGATGTAATTTTACATTTTTATTGTTATGCTTTTGTTATAAGATTATTATTTCGTCATTGTGATTGCGATTATAATAACAAAGCAGAGACTCGTGCACGAAACTCAACAAACGTTCTTCCATCTGTCTTTCTTCTGCATGCGTACTTGTCCTCCAAGTGCTCTGTTTTTCGTTTTGTTTTGATGGACAATAAAGTAAAAGCCCACCCAAACCAAGTGCTTCTGGGTATGTACGCATCTTCGTATTTCATTCTCGACCCCTCCCCCTCCCTTTCTACTCTGATTTTTTTTTTCCTCGTGTTTTTTTTTATTTTTGTGGCCTTAGTCGTATGCATGCGTCACTTTGAATCTGAACAAAATACTTAGTTACGGCCTCTCCAGGTTAAAAAATTTCAACATTTTTGAAAGTTATTTCAGTCAAACTAATACCAAAATATATCTAATACTATACGCAGACTCGTCAGTGTAGACTATGGAGGCTGATATTTATTTATTTATTTTAAAGAACTCCCTCATATCGTTTTTATAAGAGTTGTTGAGAAAATTAGTTAAAATTGACTAATCTCATTGAAGATTTTTTGAATTTATTTTCTTAAAAAAATTGCCTATTCAATAAACGTCATTAAATTAATATATTTTCCTCTCTTTTTAGATAAAAGGATTTTAAGTAACAAAAAAAATCAATGATTTAAAAAAAAAAAACTACCTTATATTAAGAATCAGAGTAAAAGGGTACTATTAGCTTACAAAAAGCACGGGTAGGGAACATGTATGATAACATTCAACTAGATTAATTACACCGGTTGAAACTTTATAAAAAATTATTTGAATAATTAATTATCAATTTATTATCATAATAAAACAGATCTTTTGACTATAGTCGATAGTTTTATTGCACGACAGCTGCGTTTTTTCAACCATGAGTTTAATGGCCCTGTAGATCATTATCAATGATAATAAATACACATTGAATAAGTTGACAAAAAAATTGAAGTTATTTTTTTGGTAAAAAAAAAATGAAGTTCCTATTACGACCATGAGTCTATGACTCAGCAATGTATGACCAATTATATCTACAGTGTTTAAAAAAAATTAAAACACACACATGTTTTCATTGGATAATCCATATGGACTATACGTAATTAAAACCGATAAATTTTATGCAGTCTTAATCAAGGGCGGAGCAACTTGTACTTGATGCCCCCTCAACTTGGAAAAAATGACACATGTAGGGTATGAGTTTTCATATTTTGTAATTTGCACACTCTCCTTATATTTTGCACCCTTTATTTAATATTTTAAAATTTAAACACATTTTAATCTTACTTTTTAACATAGATCTAAAATTTAATTTTTTTTAACTCAAACCCAGTGAATATTATTAGTCTATAATTTCACTATAATATCTAAATACTAATATATTTATTAATTCTTTATAAAATAAAAAAATTAATTTGACTAAACTAAACTTGTGCCATCCTCGTTCTAAATACTAGTTAGGACTGATTAGAAAAAAGACAATGAAAATTGAAGATTCAAGACTTGAGTAAATTCATTAAATGTTTTTTGCTGGCTTGTTACATTTATAATGTTGAATTAAGAAGCAAAAAAAGAGAAAGAAGGAAAGAGAAAGTGTATTTGGAAAAGACAAAAAAAAAAAAAATCCCTTGTCTCAAGGATCTAGCTTCACCATTGCCTCCTTGAACCAGGATCTTGGCTCTGCTCTGGTCTTAATTTGGATCAATTAAAAAATAATTAGTGGAACAAAAGAGGTAACTAAAGACAGGATGTCATCTACCATGCACATGTGGTTGGCTGCATAATTGGCGATCTCATTTGCACTGAGCTAATGAATTTCTGAGACCCTACGTGCCCCACATGTTCCGAATTAAATAGAAAATTTATTGCTACTAATTAAGTTTGATGGTAAAATCAAAGACAAATACAAATATCGGAGCTTGAGAGCGTCAAGTATTTAAAAAATTTACTCTTTCCAATTTTATTTATAAAATAAAGAAAAAATTATTTTTTGTTATCTTTATAAATCATATTATAAATGTTTATACAATTATTTTACTCTTAATTAATTAATAAAATAAATTATGTTATTGAAATACATATATCTAATGAGAAGAAAGTTTAAAACTTATTAAATTTTAGATAGTCACAATAAATTTTGGGATTTTTTTTTACTTTCAGTTAAACTTGTTAAAAATAATTTATAAATGAAATTGGAGGGAGTAATGGGTATGTTTTTCCATTAGACTTTTGAGAGGCAATATAAAAGTGGGTTGACAAACCATTTTTTTGGCAGTTGAAAAAAACATTATGGCATTTGGATGCATGAATGTTTTTAAGTTTAAGCCAATACATATAATCTTGATTTACACATATAAGGACAAGGTCATATAATACATTTTATTTATGTGTTTTTCTCTTGGGATATACCCTCACCATCTTAAATTACAAGATAAAGGTTGGAGGAATTTTTTATCTCAAAATATAAGACAATTCTAAAAATTAAAATTTTATTATTAAGAATTTTTAAATATTATCCTTTAAGTAAAGAAAAGATTAAAATGATATTATAATGTGATAATTAAATATGTAAGAAAATTTTTGAAAGCATAATTTTACTTTAAACAAATAAATTCATAAAGTATTATTATTATATTTTATTACGACGCATAAAGTTATTTTAAATTATCTTATAATTGAGGATGGGGGGATATTTATCATCAAGCAACTACTCTTTGTTTTTACGTGCCGTGTCCAGAGCTTTTAGCTGAAATTCCAGAAACTCCAACATAGATAGCTACCTTCTGTAAATTCCCATAGGTTTCACAGATATGTGGCAGAAGCCTGCCTGTTCATATGTTCTTGGGGGAATCCAAAAACACATGAGATTTCTTCTTAATATGAATGAGTCAAAGTCAATTGTGGTACGCATAAATATAATCTAAATAACTTCAGTAAGCAAGCGTTTATGTACGGGTCATGCCATGCCATCCGTTTTTCCATGGATGCTTCAGAATTTTAGTATTAGAAAATTGGAAAATATTTGCAAGTCAAAAAAATCAACATTATTTATTTATTTATCTTCATTACTCTAAGATGTTAACTTTTACATTATATATATGTGTGAATTATTTTCATGCTTACTGGCATATATATTATTGCTAGGAAAAATGTTTGGTATATTATTGTGCTGTCAAGATATTGCCACATAGTTAGGGATATGTTACATGTGGAATTAACAGTAGATAATGAAATTATAGAGGAAGATCAGAGATGTTAAGTATATATAAAAAGAAAAGGCAATTAGGCCTTGATTAGCATATATGTAGTTTTTTAATTTTTTGTGTCACTACTCTTTCTCTAAAAGCATAATTATATATCTAATTTAGATACAAAAATATTATTAATATACTCTATAATTTGAACCTAAAGTAAATTTTATCTGTTGAACACCACTTGACGTTGAGATATCTTTATTTTTAAGCTGAGTTTGAAGTTGAAAAGCTGAAAGTACTGGAATTCTATACTATTTTTCATATTATATATATATATATATATATAAGCATCGCAGAGCTTTCGTGATCTAATATATTTTTTTTATTAATGTCTATATTATTATATATCATAAAAATATTAAAAATTTTACATCAATAAAATATCCAAGGGAAGATGGCTATTTCCGTTTTATATAATACTCACAAATACCCTTTAATATTGCGGAATATATTCGGTAAATTACACAAAACCCCTATATTAAATTTGAGCCATTGATAAAGTTGGTAAAAATTTGGTTCATAGACCATGATATTATGGAGCCAGATTTTGCTATCAACGTGAAGATTTTATTAATGTACAATTTATAAGAACTTTTCAAATTTAAAAATATGTCTTGGTTCTAGTGAGTCACTGAGATCCAGTTAACCTAAACTTTTGTCCATCAAAAAATATTGTCTCCAAAATTTAATAAAGAATCTCTCTAAATTTTTATTATTATTTTTTGGAAAAAGTAAATTTAAGTTCTTTATGATTGCATGAGTTATCAATTTAGTCCTTTGCTTTTATTTTTTCTCAACCCAATCCTTTATGTTTCATGAAAATATCAAAGCCGTCCTTA